GAACCCCCCCCCTTTCAAAAATTGCTGGATCCGCCCCTGCTTTTTCCTTGGTAAAGCCCAATATGAAGAAGTGTGCATTTAGAGGCAAACACCTTAGTGCGGGTATTACTGTCTCATGACAGCATCTAGTTATCATTTTATAATTGCTTTCCATTGCACATCCGAGTTTTTTATCACGTACAAGCAGAACATGCATTTTGCCATTATAAACTAGAACTGTCCAATAGGGACAAATACCCCCCGCTGGGTTTTTCAAAGAAGGTGCCAATTAAAAATACTTTATGGATCTAAGGTGTTCACAAATTACTTACAAAAATTTGCAGTGAAATATAATTGCTCATCATGTTTCTTAATGAAACAAAGGTACAACCAAATGAAACATCAATAGTAGTACATTGTAATTCTATTGTAACTTTTTTTTAAATATTTTTTCATTTTATTTTTTTTATTCTTGCATTAAAAAAAATTACTGCAATTATGTTTTATGTCACTCTGCAAACTGATTGTTAAAAAAAAACCATTATACAAAATCAAATTAATCTTGATATATCAATTTGAAATGCATTTTGAAAATAAAGAGCTGGTCATCCAGTAATGAAGTGCTTTGACAGACAATAAATTTCAATTAAGCAAATAAGAAAAGAGAGATCTTGAATTCTTGTGCCTTATTCCCTGGAGATTAGATAACACACACGCTGGATAAGAGATATGCCTTAACAACTTCCAACACCAAACTCATTAATTTATCTTTAACTGGATGCATGTCCACTCATTATTCCCAAGAGACAAATGAAATTACATTATCTTCTGTGCAATGTAAAAACTATTTATAAGACTTGATGACGTTTCTTTTTTTAAAGTTTTAATGAGTAGTTTTAAGCTGTAGTATTTTTGAACAGATATTCTAGATTCTTTATCTCAAACCTTATACATGAGCCCAAAATGAAAAAGTCAATTAAAATAAAAAAAAAACCTGTAAAATGCAAAAAAAAATCAACAAAAAGGGTTTGAAAATTCCAGGTGCACACCTTCATAGGGTGAATAATAAGTGTACAGATTTTCAGATTAATCCTTGCAACAGTTTCTGAGAAAAAGTTCGGACAAAACCACAAAATAAAAATAAAAAAAAAACACCTGTAAAATTCAAAATAATAATCGAATCAAGATGAAAATATCAGGTGCACAACTTCATATGGTGAATAATATGTGTACATATTTTCAGACAAATCTTTCCATGTTTCTGAGAAATGGTCCGGACAAAATCTCGTCTACAGACAGACAGACAGACGGACAGACGGACATGTTGATTCCAATATACCCCCCTTTACTTCGTTTGCGGGGGTTATAAAAAGGGGCCTGGGGTATCAATTAGTAGTCACTGCTCACAGTACCTTAATTCTTCGGAACATTGTTAAGGCTAAAAAAAAAGGCGGCGGGTTTAACTTTTACAGGAAAAGTTTACTGTTACGCCAAAAAACAGCGACTTTTTTGTATTTCTTCATAATACCAGATAATGAAATAATTTGCAATTTTAAAATCGTCCTTTTGCAGTGGCATAGACTAAATAAATCCTAACCATGTTTTGAATATAAATAAAGGATATGTTCCTTAACTTGAAATGTGCTACTGCTTCCTTTAAATCGAGAGCGTGGATTTATAAGTACACAAAAAATTTGGTAAAAGTCAAATATATTTCGACATAGGGCTATTTACCTGAAATTTTAACTATTAAAAAGCAAATTCTATGCAAAGCAGAAGTACTTTTCAGAAGGTACAAAGTAAGCAGAAACAATTAAGGTCAAGATCAAGTAAATAACTTAAGACTAATTTTTTTGGTGCTAGATCCATTATGACCTCATAATCAATTTCAACTTTCTTTTTCCCGTACTTTACAGCTTTAGCAGAATTATGTAAAAAAAATAGGTTATTGTCATTTTATTCAATTTGAAATCATATGAAAAGTAAAGCAGATACCTATATTAAATTTGATATTGATTTAAAGACGAGGTCATGAACATACTAATTACCGCTTTGTGATAGACTGTAGGCAATCTGGATACATTTCCTTTGCCGAATACCAAAAATAAAAAACCCATATTCATGACTGGTTTTCTTAATTTGTCATTAAAAATTACAGCTTAAAATACAGTTTTTCATCTTGTTTACCTACAAATTATGCCCCCAAACTCCTTATCTGATCAAGCTAAAGTTGTAAAGCATCATTAAAGGAATTTATTTCTCAAATTTGATAAATCTGTACGCACCTTTCATTTACTAAACCTTGACCTTAATAGCTTGAATTTTTAATTTCAAATAGGGTATGCCCTTACTATATTGATATTTATTAATGACCTACATCCAGTACACGTACTATGCATTCATCACGTGAATGTACTTTGACCGGACCAAACTTCATATAGTACAGAGTAGGTTATATTATGCTATTTCCATAAGTATTTAAGTTATGTCATAATAAAACAGCTTAATAATAATAAATTCAGTTTTAAAAACAATTCCCGTTTTCGCACTTCTCTTTTCCGTTGATTTTTCATAGTAAGTCTGAACTGTGCTGCTTTATTATATTTCAGTGTATATCTCTGATTGCCTATTGCCATCGGAACCAATGTTTAAATGGTTTGAATCAAATTAACCTGATGATGATATCACACGTTTCAGTTTTCCTGGTCCAACAGTTTATTAGGGTTTTTTTTATGAACTTTAATATCCTATATTGGCATTAACCTACCCCTAAAATCTGGTCTAGCGGTTTATCAGGTCTTTTATGAACTTTAATGTCCTATTGTGGCACTACCCTACCCCGAGAACGAAGATTTAAAGAAATTAAAATAAACACACACTATCATAGGAAGCGTTCTCACAAGTTTGATTTTTTTCTGGCATAGAGGTCTTGTTATGATGATATTTTTTGTGACTTCTAATGTCTTTTCCCTAATTAAAGAATGGTCCTTCTATACACCCTATTACCGGCAATTAGGACTGCTAATGCAACTGTGACAACAGATAGCAAAGTTGTTTTTAACTATGAGAACTAATTTATATGTAATTATATATTTTTGACTATTCATTTTATTTATTTAATTCATTTGGTGTTTTCCAGTTTTGATCTTTCCTTAAACATTTTTTTTCTGTTTAATACAAAACCATGATTTCTTATAAAAGAAAAGAACAGAATAAAACTAGAAAACTGACCAGTCAGGAAGGGCCCCGCCATGGGGTAGAATTAAAAGGGTGCAACTTACAGAATGATTAAAAAATGTACGAAAAATAAGCAACAGCAACTGTATTTTTAAAATTTCAAGATAATTTCTGAATATTCAAAAACCTGAAAATAATACCCTTGTATTTACATTAGGCAGTAAAGAACAACTTAACATTGAATATATATTTAAACAATTATGAAGCTTGTGTTATATAAAATGCCAGCCTTCAATGAATGCAAATATGACATGAAGGCTTGACCTTAACTTCAAACAAACAGCAGTTGCAGACAAAGGTTTTCATTAATCTTAAAGTGAAATATAAAGAAAAGCCTACTAAATTTTCTGCAGCAGGCTAGATAATTAATCCCAAGGGATTAATGTACCTCTTCATCATTTTCTTTAAAGTTACAATAAGAACTTTTTTCAGTATTAATGATAGAATGGGGTTTTTATACAACTACCTTAAAAATTAATAATATTCTTGAATTAACATGAAGTGAAAAAATTAACAATATTCTTGAATTAAAATAAAGTGAAAAAAAATAAATCAAAAACTCTTCTTTAATCTATTTCTTGTTTTTAGAATTCAATGAAATTATAACTATTAAATTAAACAAAAATAAATTATAAAAATTTATATTTAAATCCACATATAGGAGTGTTCATAGCATTCCAAATTGATTTAACTTCAAAACAAACTTCATTTGCAGACAGAGGTGGTAATTCATCTCAATGTGCGGATAAAGATAATGCTCTGGATTTTCTTCAGGAGGAAAGCTAATTAATCCCAAGGGACTCATAGCAGCATTGAGTTTACAATGGGAACATCTTCAGCAGTTATCTCTCTTTGCCAATGCATTCTTATATATAAAGTTAAGGAATCTACCCCACCACCCCAGCTCCAAACCAGGGGACATAGAGAACCAAACTTAGCATCAAAATATGTATTTCTGCCTTCTGAACTACCATACCAAATTTCTACTTGAATGGGCAACCATAAAAAAAATTGCCCATTCAATCTTATACATAGTTAAGGTATCTACCCCACCACCCCATCCCAAAACCAGAGGACATAGAGAGACAAACTTAGCATCAAAATATGTCTTTTTGCCTACTGAACTACCATACCAAATTTGAACTTAATTGGACTACCATAAAAAAAGTTATTAGGAAAAAACGGAAAATTTGTGGACGGAAGAATGACAGACGGACAGACAGACGGACGGACAGACAGACAGAGTGATTACTATAGGGCACCCGCAAATCCTTGCAGGGCCCTAATTAAATTTCAATACAAGTTCAAGAACAAATTGTCAAATTAAGCTTACAGATTTAAAACTGGGTGTGTCTTTGAAATTTCTAAATTTTACCTAAGCGAAAGATAAATTGTAACAACTTGGTTAATTTTTGGCCCATACCATGGTACTTAAGGAGTAAAAGATAGGAAAATTTTTAAAGAGAAACAACAGATACAGAAGGATGAATTGCCACAGGACAACGGATGATCCATAAAGCTCACTTGAGTTTGCAGCTCAGGTAAGCCATTAATATCAAAGACAAGAATTATTATCCATATTTTTCCCACAGTCATCAACAAAATAAAACCCAATTCATTTTTTAAAGACTATAACCAATCTTAAAACCTAATAGGTCAGACGTCTTTTTTTTTTTTTTTTTTAATATTTCTGTAAAATATGGCAGTACTTGTACATTCTCATGGTAGGTTGGATTTTTGTTCATTCCTTTTATAATTTACATTATTTAAGAAAGAATACTTACTTCTTTAGATTTTTTCTCTGTGTGTGTGACAACAAGAAACAGTGGTGCCTCTTTGCCTCCAAATGTCTTGATTGAGGTTATCCAAAACTTCAAGTAGTCTAAAAGAAACAAAGGTATAAAGGGACAAATAAAGCGAAATGATAAACTAGAATTCTTTAATAGACTGTTACAAGCCTTACTGGTTAGCACTAAGAGCAAAGGGAAAGAAAAGTAGCACTTTGATTTAAATTTTTGCAAAGCAGTAAATAGAATGTATACGTTTACTAGGTGTATAATCTGCACGTGTGCCATGTTATTTTCGAAATCAGACCAAAACTGTAAGAGAAGTAGCATTTTGAAAATATTTCACAGAAATTTCTATTTTTATTAGTCATTGCAACACTGATCATTAAAATCAGAATCCCATATTAAGAATTATGTATATTAGTGCAGTCTACTTGTATGCCAAGTTATACTGTAATCAGCCAAAAACTCAGGGTGGAGTAGTGTTTTGAATTTTTTTAACAGACGGACGACTAAGTAGACAGACATTTAGACAGACAGACAGATGATGGATACCTTACTTTTGCATAATCTATTTCGGTCTCTGATCAGTAAAGCTAAAAACTACATACAGGTGTATCTGATAAGAGTAAGCTCTACAGCCTTTTACTAACAACCATGGAAAAAAAATGTATCAGAACTTCATCATTTTTTACACTACTCTTACAGAATTAAATGAAATAATAATTATATCCTAAATATAAAGTTATTCAAAAAAGAAATAAATATGAACTGTAATTTTTTTTTATCTACACATTTTTCTATGATATCTGAATTGAAGAAAAAAATATATCATAAAATATTGTACTTTTGTACAGTAAGCAGTGTATTTGGGGAAGTTTAGTCAGGTTCAATGGTCACACCAACAGATTCATTATTCCTGGTTACTGATCACAAATTCATGTGTCAAGTTCAAAAAAACGAACCGATACCTGCCACAAATGATTGTATTAAACACATACATTTATAGGCTTTTGCTTGGGATAAAACTCAGGGCCTCTGGCAAGCCAGTCCAGTGATCTTCCAATTGAGCTTAAGGGTTTACCTACTAGCCCAAGATAGTAGGAAGCCGTGTACATGTATCTAACACTATCATGAACACAAACATGTTTTATATAGATTTTATATATAATTACTGTAATAATTAATGATTTTTGGTGTAGCGTGTTATTTACTGCTGATCACTATAAGTTGAAAATAACTGCAATTTTGACCTATAAATTCTATGGTACTATTTTTTCAATATCTTTTGTTAGAGCTTAGAGAGTTTTAAATGAAGAGTTTTAAATGAAGCTAGGGATTTTTAAAATTTTGAA